CACGATGAGGATAGGGTGCTTGCAGTTCGCGCCGCAGGTCGCAGACGTCGACAAAAATCTCGACCGAGCGGACACTGTTTTGGCCAGGGCGAAACCTGAAGATTTGGATAGTCTTGACCTTTTAGTGGTTCCGGAGATGGCATTCTCAGGTAAGCAAGCACCCAATGGCCCCCAATATCATCCCTGACCGGGGCCGATTGCAACGTACCCAAATCAACTGCAGCATCGAAGAGGAACGGCTCAAGACTGACCTCGATTCCAGGCTACAATTTCAAGTCATTACAGCATATCTTGCCCTGTCTTGAGTACGAAGGAACCGGTGTTACCTCGCTCTGGGCACGCACCGTGGCCCTCAAGCATAATTGCCATGTCATTGTCGGTTATCCTGAGCAAGTCGACGTCTCTGACAAATGGCCAACCTCGCCTGAGTACTACAACTCAGCCATGGTGGTCAACAATGATGGTGAGAACATTTTGAATTACAGAAAACACTTTCTGTACATGATCGACGAGACCTGGGCGCTCGAGGGCTCTGGTTTTGGCAAGGAGTTCATTCCAGGGCTGGGCCAGACCGCCATGGGAATCTGCATGGACATCAACCCTTACAAATTTGAGGCGCCATGGCACGCCTTTGAATTTGCCTTTCATGTTCTGGAAGTCAAGGCCAACCTGGTCATCATATCGATGGCATGGCTTACGCGTGAAGAAGCGCCATCATTTATCAGCAAGCCTGATGAGCCTGATATGTAAGTATTCGCGGTTCATCATTTTGATCCAGCCTTTGCCCCCCCCTCGCCCCCGCCCCCGACTCAAACAAAACAAAAAACCTCACCGGTTGTTCGCGACGCGGGAGAGCTTATGATACCACCCAGGGAGACGCTCACGTACTGGGTTCAACGCATGGAGCCACTCATCCGCGCCAAGACTGAAGACGAGATCATTGTCGTGTTTTGCAACCGTTGCGGCATGGAAGATGACACGGTCTTCGCCGGCACCAGCGCTGTGATCGGGATCAAACAAGGCGAGGTCCGCGTCTATGGTCTTCTCGGCCGCTGTGAGAACAAGGTCCTGGTGGTGGACACGGACGCTCCGCCCCTTGGAAGACTGGAATTTGGAACCCAAAAAGACGTTGACGACGCTGAGGCGTCGTGACAGGGCCGATGTTTGTCCCCTTTGAGCATGTGAGACAGCTGGGACGAATGGTGGGTGGGCCGCTGTCCCAGGAAGTCTGTCCCATATGGGGATGAAGATGTCTTGCTGCGGGATGTCCTTGAATGAAATGTAGAATTCGCTGTAGGATATTTTTGCTGTGGATGTTCCGATGCGACTGGAGGGGAATCGGCATTACGCGTGTCGACTATCTGGCACCGCTTTCCGAATCGCTCGGCACACTTAGACCCACCCTACCCAGCCGAAAACAACCACCCACATTAACATAAGCGCCGCGCTTCACCCGATCAGCGCAATTCACATTTTGGCTAAGTTGGCAGAGAGTGGTGTTGGAGCCAACTGAAGGGCAAATTCTGGGGAATGATCGGTGTCAGACGGTGTACTCGGCTGATACCGAGTTCACAACACCTGCAGGAGGTTTACATTTGCAAATGATGAAAGCCTCGACGCTTGAAGGATCAGAAGCGGCATACACTCGATTGAGTGGCAGGGGGCGGATTGGGGCAAAGGCCAATTGGGGTCATTCAATCTGCAGGATGTGTGGGTAGGCCCGTCGAGCTTATCCTCTTCAGGTCATACAGGGTTACAGTGGGCGCTTGGGAGGCTGGAGCGGCGCCCAATCACCAACGTCTTCAGCAACGGACGTGTGAAGTGGTTCAGGGGACCTTGCGTCTGCGGCGCTGGCCTGCAGAATGCTATTGCTGCACATCATCATCCTGAGTGGCCAATCTACAGTGCCACACCTGAATGAATGGCCTTGTTCGAGAACCAAAAGGTTGGGGCCGAACGTCCGTGGGGAGTGGGAGAGGGGACTCCGGGAGGCCGCGAGATGCAGATCTGAGCGGCCATTTCTACAGGCCACCAACGTTGATGAAAAAGGATTTCCTCACCCAACTGAGTGGGTAGTGACCAGTTTAAGAGACCCATGCAGATCCAACGCACATGGTACACGACTTTCTTTGATTTTGCTTTTGACCTGCCACAGATCCGGACTGCGCAAGCTTGTGTGATCCGGACTTCCAACCTTCCCTTCCCCCCCCTCCCTCTCCTCCGAGTCTTTTCCTCGAGGTCGCATCAGATCATACCTTACAAGAGTGCTCCCATACCCCCCTGGATCCAAGCTAGATACAGTTCACTGCACCGGGCGCTTAAGCGTTCAAACTTCTTTCACATCACCAACATCAAGGGGGGATTCCAACATCACATCCGTCTCAAGGGGCCAATTTCACAGTGATATATCCTTCGATCCACATGGCCTCTGCGGCCTTGACGCTCACCGGACGGACAACCGCGTTGGACAAAAATCATGTGCTGCGTCGTACCGCAGTAGATTTATTATACACGGCGATAACGACATCCTGATCTGTGTGTTCTGGGTTTTTTGCTTCTCCAACCCCGCATATAGTCGAGTACATCCTTTCGAGGAAGAGTCTTGATCACCTCTTTGCCCAAGAAAATCTCGCCCATCAGATATGAAATCCACTTTCAACAGATTAGCCGCCGCCGCGGCGACGCTGGCCCATTCAGCAACGGGGATTCTTGTCACCTCAGGCTCGTCCTGCGACTCGCAGTGTGGCAACGTGCTAGATGCGACCACCCCGGCCGACATCGTTTGCGATCAAGACAACTACAGCAGCGCGGCCGGGGTTGTCTTTAAGAATTGTATGAACTGTGAATTGACCAGCAACTACTACACAACCAGTCCAAACGAGTCCGACCAGCAATGGATGCTTTACAACTCCAGATACGCCCTCTCCGAGTGCTTATTCGGCGAGCCTGGGGATGTCAGTGTCGCCAGCAGTCCGTGCACTACATCGTAAGTCGTCTCCCCTCTTGGCTTGCAACATGACACATCCCTTCTGACATGATACCCATATAGACGAGCATGTGGACCTTTTCAAGATGCCTTCGCGTCTGGCAACTTCAGCACCGACCCCAGCGTTGGCGCATATGATTACTGCGTCGACTGGCAAGACAGTACCTTCTACGATGGATGTTTGAATTGCCTCCGGGCGGACAATGCTCAGTACCTCGCCAACATGTTGGTCCTGCTCCAAGTTGCCTGCGACCAGCAACCCGCACTCGGGTCGACTGTTTCCGTACAAGGCAGTATTTTCTCCACAACACTCATGAACGAAACATCGCCAACGCCGTTGAGCGACTGGACGGACTATACCAACTCGGGACCCATCTCCCTCGGTGGCAAAGTCGGCATCGCAATAGGTGGTCTTTGCGTGATCCTCGCCATCACGGGCTTCTGCATCGTTTGCAATGGCCGTCGCCGTCGTCGCGCCTTTCTGCGCAAGCTGGAGATGCGCCACAAGGACGCAGGATGGCCACATCCATTCGCTGCCGGCGCCGGGGTCGTCCACCGTGGGCCCGACATGAACGAGACGCCCCTGTCTCAGAAACCTCTCCGCGGCTGGGACGACTCTCCCCTGTCAGCCACAGCCTCGGAGCCGAGCTATGCGCGGTACTTTTCACCATACTCCTCTCAACAGACCAGCCCCGTGAATGGTGCCCAGATGAGCATGGCACACCAATGGCCGCAACAGTTCCATGATGAGCCCACCCATGGCGGCTACCCATCATCATCAGCGCAGGAACAAACAATGCAGGACCACTCCATTCCCAGCGGCTTCCCCACGTCTGCCCAGGAGAAGGCCATGCTGGACCAGCACGAGACGGCGACAACAGGCACGGCGACCCCACCTACGCACATAGGACTTGCGTTGGGTGGCGATGAGCCCAGCCTGCGATCCAAGCCCTCGGCAGTGAGTGCCCAGAGCAGGGAAGGCGAAGGTGGCGGCGACGACGCGGGAGAAGCGTATGAGTTGCACGAGGTCAGCAGCAGCGCGGGCGGGAGCAGTGCCGGCGGGACCAACATGGTGGGCTCCAGTAATAGCTTCCGAAATCGAGTCGCGAGGGAGAATCGCGCGCCGATGTTGCAGCACCCCGGGTATGGGAGGTATAGCCCTGAAAGGGTTCTGCCACCGCCGCCGCCGATTCACTCGATGAGTGGAGGGTTGGTCGATGACGAGGAGAAAAGGATATAGGGTTTTGATTTGAGAGCAAGGGTGGGTTTATTGCCTTGCTCGGGTCGTGAGTCCGGTTTGAGCACGGAGTTTGTGGGTTCCGGATTTGGCTCAGGGGAGCGTCTTCTTTCAATTTGCTACCTTAATGATCTGGTGTTTGTCGAGAATCTCCAGGCTTGTATATACCTAATTTCCTCACTCGTGCACGAATAAGACTCGGAAGTCTCGTTGGCACAGAGCTAGTACATGGCGGGCTATAATGTAGCAACAGACATTCATTGCCTTGGCCTGCAAATTCAATGACAATCCTCTCTCGTGGTAGACCGACGGGCCCTGGTTTTCGACCCTTCGCTCATCGCCGTACAGTCAGTAAGACGTAGATTAGACTATGAATGGAACGTCAAAATACACGCAGACAAGTGCTCCATGAACAAGACGCCGTCTGAGAACAATCTTCAGCCAAATCATCTTGCAGCCACGGTAGACCCAGGCTATACGAAACAAAGAAGTGCGGTTTACGTAAAGTAGACTATCAATCCGTGGTCAGTGTAGTCCAGGACGTGATAGTGACGATAGTTCCTTGCTGCGGACTTCTATCTTGAAGATCAATATCTCAGGAAATTTGTTCCCAGGAGTGCTGATGTTGCAGTTCCAAAGAAAATTATCACACAGGCATATGCGATCAACCAACAGTACTGCCTGTATCTCTCAAACGATGTATCCAAGAAACCTCTGCAAGATATCATGAAAATAGATAGACGGCAAAAAAGGAATAAATAAAAAAAGAAAACAACGGGGCCTCTTCGGGATTCGAACCCGAGGCCTCCTGCATTCAACTATAAAGCCCAAAGCAGGAATCATACCACTAGACCAAGAGGCCGCTGATTTATGGAGATACTCATCCATCCAAATTATTATATACTCAATGTATCATTCGTACCGGTGCAGCGCATACCACTTCACCATGCGAAAATTTGAGTCCCAAGAATCTTCCAAATCAAACATCATCCGAATCCAATCGTGAATACAGAGAACACCAACGTATGCGGTGATTATTGCTCGTGTATCGAATTGTAACCGATTGGTTGTAAAACCCCGGAGCGAGCTCCCAGGCCATCCCCGGTTGTTCAGTGTTAGGAAGCGTTTTCTCCACGCCATTTGTACCGTACCAAGCCTTAACGACTCAAAACGTACTTGGTAAGTCGGAAAGGATGATTTATTTGCTCTACAAGTCCACACATTGTTTTGAAAATGTGGGTTGGTGCTATCCGCAGGGAAATTTTGGGGGCTCTAATCCAACCCGCGTCTATGCTGGCGTGCGAGATTTTCCATTTGAAAAGGAGCAACGAAGGGCTCATTCCTTCAAGCGACATGCACAAAGACGTTCGTACAAGAAATGGGAGTGAGATGTCCCCCCAGAGCAAATTGTGCACTTGAACACTCTCTGCTCTCATTTGCTGGCTGCTTGTGAAGGGATGACTTGCTGACCAAGGATCATAATTCGCTTGCTTGATGCTGCAAGTTTGTAAATCGTGTCAGTCTCGTCAACTTCTGATGTCTGAATCCTGTGTTCGAAATATGAATTTTGCCTCTTTGACCACAGTCCGCAGCGAAAAGAAGGGCTCATAAGACTATGTCCAGGAAGGCCACTGCCTGCAGATACAACCAAGTCCTGAGGTATAGGCTGATTTGTCGAATCTAGGCTTCGATTTACATTGCAACATTGACCACGCCGAGAAGCTCGTTTCCTAACCGCTCAGGGCATGGCCGCTCAGCCAGGGAAGAAAGGATTCCAAGCCTAACAATAAAACTCAGTGTATATTTGAGGAAGTGGATCAGGTTAGGGGCCTTTCCAGAGAGGATAATGCTGTCACCTTCCGGGGAGGCCTTTTGCATTGTGCCTTTTGAAGACTGCCTTTTGAAGACTGCTTTTGGAGGACCCTTTGCTGTATCACTGAAAGGAAGCAGAGCAAGGGGTGCAACAAGTCTTCACCAGGCAGAACAAAGCCACTGTCAATTACATAGTTATCAAGGGCGCTCAGCATCAGGCAAGTATGAGAATACCTACAATTGTCCACCATTTGATGTCGCCAATGCTTCTCGGACTAGCTCATTTACATCAACACACTGAGACTGCTTGCACAGTTTGAGAATCACCTGTACACTCTTGCCACGCCATTCTTGCCATTCAATAACTACACAGCTTGCAACTACTGGAGACCGGGCACACTAGCTTATACAGTGCCAGCTGTATTGAGGCCATCCGCTTCATATTTCTCTACATCAGGGGCGGATCGTCATTCAAGAAGTCAGCATGGCCAACTATCTACCCGTATACATCCTCATCGGATTCGTACCTCTCGTTTTCCTCGCGGTAGCATGCTACTCTACCGCCAAGACTCGAACACTCACTGGTGAGTGTCATCTGCTATCCTGCCTTTCAAGGCGCAATCGTGATACCACTGATAGCCCCCAGATCACAACGGACGAGCTTGAGATGCAGTGCATCCGATCCCACGGTCCCTACCCTCCTCCTAATCGCGACTTGCACCACAGCGCGTCTCTCACGACGGAGCGCATGAAGCATCCCATTCAGAAAACCGAGCGTAGGCAAAACTTATCACAGTCAGCGCCAACACTGCAACCTCGCGCACTCATCAGTCCTCCCACTACCGCATATCAGCAGCAGCAGCAGCAGCATCACCACCGCGCCGCAGCGCTGGCATCACTCGAGCGGGTGAGGAGCAGTGTTGTTGCGACCATGCTAGACCTCCCGCCGCGGCCGAGTGCACCCTCGCCCCCCTCCAGCAGCACTGCATCGGCAGGGTGTTCCTGCCGCCACCACCACCAACACCAAGGGCAGTGGTGGGAGGATGTCGCAGACTCGGACGAGGACGCTGAGGATGTGGTTCCGGCACGTAAGAGAAAAACCGCTATGCCTGGAGTACACAGCGTCTTTCGGCTACACAGCCCCATTGTCCAGGGCGATGGATGGACTGACGTGACTTTGCGGTGAGGCAGGAGAGCAATCGATGGCGAAAACTTTTGCTTGCCCATTGGGCGGACATGATGAAGGTGATTGTACACCCTCCTGTGCATGCGATGCGGGTCAGAGCATAGCAGTGGCGATAATTCACCCATCCAGGCCTAAGATATGATGGAAGCTACCTTAATTTTGGATGCGAGTTAGTATTTGATGTCCATCGAGAATCCTGCATTGCCACAGTAATCAACCCCATACTCACCCATCTCCTTGCATCTCAATTGTACTATTCTCCCGATGGCACTGCCAAAATGACGACGACTTCTTCATGCAACTTACCAAAAAGGCCCCTCAGCATCGTACACAAAAACCTCCAAACCGGGACTAAAAGATAGTCTACCCCCACTAAACTGCCGAGTAAAAGGATATCCAAAAAGAAAAAAATGAAAAGAAAAACCAGGCTTCCCCCCTCACGTATAAGCCACATTCCCAATCCGCGGGAGCAAGCAGGCACTAATACGTCTTGGCTATGCGGGATCGGAAAGGATAGTAAAATCCAAGCATTTGCTCTGAGATCATGCCATGGCGGCAATTATGCCGGAGAATTTACTATGACGATGGGCGGCGCGCGCATTTTGTTTCGGCTTTGCGTTTAGTTGAGGCTTGGTACTGGCTTGGGTATGTACACAGGGTGGTGGTGTATGATTGAGTGAGTTTGAGGACTGGAAAACCTCGACAAGCTTCGCGGACTTTGGCATTACACTCGAGCTCTGCTGCACTAGATACTTGCCTGTAATGTACATAGCGATATTGGATTACTTTTCGTGACACATAAACTTACCAAGTTTAAATGTGAGAATTGTGGATAGAAGAAAACTCCGATGCCAAGCACGTCGTCATTCGCAAACCTTAAGCTCGCAGCTCATCAAACATCTGCCAGAGGTTGGTCACTCAAACGTCGTGCTATACGCAAGGATTCGACCGGTTCTCCGGGGGCACAAGGTACGACTTATTGCTGTGGCACGCAATCAATCCCTCATAGCAAAAGGCAACATTGAGCTCATATAGTATTGTACGCGTGCAGAATCAAGGAAGCTCGCCTGGCCCCCGAACGAAGTGGGGGCCGGCTTTCTCTGTTGTATTTCCAGGCTGTAATCATCCTAGGAGGCAAAGCGGCCATTATCCGACTTAATCCCGGCAGTGGCTCTCCTCCTCCAGTCTTAATAGACAACGTGAACAATTAGGGTCACAACCTTCTTCTCCCAATCCCTATCCTTTGCGTTTTCCCTGTTCGAACAAAAAAGGATTGAAAGGTTGAGTAGACCGTCGCTCGCGCTCTGTTCTCTTCGCTCTTACAAAGCAAGTACAGAAAAATGCCAGCCCAGTTTTTGCAAGAACGAAAGTCATAATAGCCCGACTTGCCCATGTCGGAAATCCGAAAAACGCCAGTACCATGTGCTTGTTTGCTGTTTATTTGACCCCGAAAACGCCTTGGACGAAAATGCACTATGTGCGTCTAGTAGCAGTCATCATCATGTATGACCATCAAGAAGAGGTGGCCGGTCATGATCAGGTGAAGAGCACTCGAGAAGTATGTACAGAGGAAAGCCGTCTGTCGATTCGATAGCTCTTAGGGTGTTTGATGAGACAAGGTTGCGAGAAGACTTGTGTGACAAGAGCCTTGGGTGCGTTGAAATGATATTCCCCAAATCAATTTAAGAAGTCGTATGATGCAAGCCGTTCGATGTGTGACAGTATGCGTGGTGCTGGTTCTCGATCGATTCGCGGTTCCTCGGCCTCAGTTGCTGTCTGGCTTCCATATGCCGGCACCGAGTTTCCTGCTGATGCCGAGGCCAACACCCACACCGAGGGCAATCACCAGAAGACCTATCAGCACCTTGGCTATTATCCTGTTGCGCTTGCTGAGTCGGGCAAGGCACTGGCACGAGTGCTTGTTGATCTTGGCGGCCTTTGCCTTCTTCTTCCAGTGTGCCTGGCCGGGCCACACTTGGCCCTCCGCGCAACCCTTCAGGTTGGTGTTGCTCACGCTCTTCATTCCACAGGCATCATCACCGCCAGTCAGGGTCCTACTAGAGACCATCGCCTCCAGGTCGGTATCAAAGGGATTCAGATCATTGTGAGCAGTAGCCGGGGTGGAAACGGCAGAAGGGTGATTGAGTCCTGCGATGGAGCCGGCAGGAGATACTGCTAGGGTGTCGGCAGAGGTTGTGGATTTACGGGGGCTGGACACAGAGATCACGGTTGTGAGGGACAGGCCCATCTTTTCGTTGGGAGCTGCCATTGCGCTGTGGGCTTTTCCCGTGGTTGCTATAACCAAATTCGCGGAGTGGAAGTGGGTTGTGTGTCTGGTGATGCCCGATGATGATTTATTTGGTGAATGATGTCTCGTGGGTGTGCCAGCTTATGCGAAGTGACTAGGTACTTTGTCTCCGCACGAAAAAGAATGATCAAGAGCTAGTTCCATGTTAGCAAATGACCTAGTAAAGACACATGTAGTGACTCGGGGGGGTGAAATCGGCTCGTGACAGCCGAGTCGAGGGGAGCGGGTAGTCGGCCACAGCAGAGCCATCGCACACACGTAATGCGCGAGTGGCAGACTATCAGACTAGACGGTGCTGGGCTGATACTGGTGACGGGGTCCTCGTGTTGACAGCAGTGGAACCACTCCACCGCTTTACTTCATCTTCTTCATCGTCAACTGTGACTTACGAGTTTTTTGCAAATGGACCGACTATCTGTCGTTACCGTAATAGTATAAAGTCGGGGGGTGGTGTCCAGCGCCGAGGAGGAATCGAATTTGGGTTTGACGAACGGACGAGCACGCAGGGAAGCCCAATGGAGGCTGCGATTGATGAGTTTGACAGGAGACAGCACCA